TACTGGGCTGAGACCTGCCCCACCTGATGGGGAGGTGCCAATACCCACAGGAAGGGTGTTGAGGACAAAAGGAAAAGCATGTGCAAAGGCTCAGAGGCTGGGAGGAGCTTGGTGCGTTTGGGGGACAGCAGGGAAGCTGCAGGTGGGTCGCCTCAAGGGGCCTCTGGGCAGTGTTGGGTAATGGGTGTCAGATGCTGTGCTTCATTTGGTCAGAAGCCAGTAGAGAATTCATGAGAGTGACGAGATGGAATTTGTCACCTCAAAAGTCTGAGAGCTTGGTAAAGTGAGGGAGGAGGTGCCTGTACACAGTAGGTACTAACTGAATGTCAGCCAGAGTGTGTCTTCTCCTCCCATGGGTTCCTCCCATCCAAACCCTGTCCCATTCCGTCCTTCCTCCAGGAACACCAAGCCCCAGCCCTGGCCAACAGCGGGTCCCTGAAGGACAGTCCAGCCCACGAAGTGACCGGCGGCAGCGGGCGGGCCTATGTGCGCTTTGACGTGCCTCCGCTGAGAGTCAAGCGGAGCTGGCCCACCTTCAGAGGTGAGCCTGGGCCCCCTGGCCCCTCTGCAAGTGTGGGTGGTGCCCAGGCTGGAGGCGCTGGCCACTGACCCCACCCTGCGCCCCCCAGCCCTGCTGATGCACCGCTACGCGGTGGCGCGGGTCATCTGGGCCGACATGCTGTCCATTGCTGTGACCTACTTCATCACGCTGTGCCTCTTCCCCGGCCTCGAGTCTGAGATCCGCCACTGCATTCTGGGCGAGTGGCTGCCCATCCTCATCATGGCTGTGTTCAACCTCTCAGACTTCGTGGGCAAGGTGGGCCCCCACTCCTGCCCATGGTGGTGGGGACAACACACGGTGGGGGTGGCACACTGCCAGGGCAGCCTCTGAGAGAACCTGGCCCATCCAGGAAGTGTCCGTGGACTAAGGATTCATGTGGGGAGGTGGCAGCCAAGTAATGTCACCATCCCAGACAGTGTCCCTTGGGGAGCGGCCCCTGCCTGATCCCACAGGGGAGCTCTGAGTGTAAGCTGCGTCCGACAGGCCCGGCTCGGCTCTCGTCCTCCTCCCCCACAGTCACTGGTTAACCAGTCTCTGGGGCAGTCCTCCAGGGGTGAGTGCAGGTTCAGGCCACTGGAAGTACCTGGCCCACAGGGGAGCTCTGAGTGTAAGCTGCGTCCGACAGGCCCGGCTCGGCTCTCGTCCTCCTACCCCACAGTCACTGGTTAACCAGTCTCTGGGGCAGTCCTCCAGGGGTGAGTGCAGGTTCAGGCCACTGGAAGTACCTGGAGAGGGAAGGAACACCCAGCAACGGCCCAAAGAAGAATCTGGGCAGCATGTGCAGGCGGGACTGGCGGTCAGGGCTGGAGTAGGATCAAAGCTGCCATTTCTGGTGCTCTGGACAGGCCTGGGATGGGCCTTGTCTTAATGGAGATCATGAGGCTCAGAGAGGGGAAGCCATTTGCCTGAGGTCACACAGCTGAAAGGTCCAAGAAACGAGTCTGTGCTCCGAGAGAGAGCGAGGCCCAATTAGCGGGTTCAGATCCTGATCCTGATCCTGCTACTTCCCAGCTGTGTGAGTTGATGCTGCTGGCCTGAGTCTTTGGGCCTCAGTGTCCTCTTTTCTCAAATAGGGTAAAGGACCCACTCACAGAGCACTTTAAGGATGGAGTGAGGGTATAGTATAGCGTTCGGATTGGCACTGACACATGGCAAGGACTGTGTATTGCTGTGAGTGGAATTTGGTGGATTTTAGAGGGCAGAGCTGGAGAAGGGCAAGGACACCAGCTGAGCTGTACAGAGCACGGAGTGTTTGGGGACAGGGGTGTAGCTGGAGGTGGGCTGGGGGAGGGGTGAGGGAGGCCAGGCAGGCAGGCACCCACATGCCTGGCTCCTGACAGATCCTGGCGGCCCTGCCCATGGACTGGCGGGGCACCCACCTGCTGGCCTGCTCCTGCCTGCGTGTGGTCTTCATCCCCCTCTTCATCCTGTGCGTCTACCCCAGCGGCACGCCCGCCCTCCGCCACCCCGCCTGGCCCTGCGTCTTCTCCCTGCTCATGGGCATCAGCAACGGCTACTTCGGCAGTGTGCCCATGATCCTGGCAGCAAGCAAAGTGAGCCCCAAGCAGCGGGAGCTGGCGGGTAAGGCCCACCCCTCCCCCCGACTGAGAAAACCAAAGCCAGACAGCAAGAAGGTGTATTTGGGTTCCAGGAGTCAAGTCAATGTCAGGGAGGTCATAGGTGTGGGGACATTTTTCAGTCACTTCATTCATTCATTCCACAATTACTTGGTGAGGTTTTCCCATGTGCCAGGCACCGTTCTAGGCACTAGGGACACAGTGGTGACAAAACAGTGCCCCACATGCTCATGGGGCTGGCAGCCTAGAAGTGGAGACAGTCAATAAACAGACACAGAACAGATGCAACATGTTGGATGGTGGTGAGTATGAAGGAGAAAAATAAAGTGGAGAAATGGGATGGGGAGTCGAGGTGGGGGAATCACAGTGTGAATGGAGCAATCTGGGGAGGCCTCACTGAGGAGGGACTTTTGAGCAAAGACCTGGGGGAAGTAGTGAGGGAACCAGCCACGTGAAGATGCGAGGGGACAGCATCAGGAGAGAGCGAGCAGCGCGTGCAAAGGCCCTGAGGCAGGAGCAGCGATGTGCTGGGCGGGGGTGGGCCGGTGAGGGCAGAGCGGGGCAGGATCCGACTGTGTTTATAAAGGACTCCTCTGGCCGCTGCTCGGCGAGGAAAGCACGGGCAGGGGTGGGGAGGTGAATGGGGAGCTGCTGCACCAGGCCAGACCCTGTGCACAGAGGCTCACAATTGGCGGGGTGGGAGCGTGGCGGGGAGTTGCTGTGGAACTGGGAGAAGGTGCTGGATTCCGAATCTGTTTTGACGGGAGAGCCCACAAGGCCAGCTGCTAGACTGGGAGGTGGGGTAGGAGAGACAGAAGGGGGGGGAGTCAGCATAGCCCCTGCCCAGCAGTGACTCAAAGCCAGGTCCTAGGAGTCTGAGCCCTGTGTGCTCAAACCCCAGCTCTGTTGCTGATTTGTGCGCTTTGGACAAAATCCCGTGCTGTTCTGTGCTTGTTTCCCCACCAGGTGGGATTGGTCCACTCTTTGATGTGGGTTCCTTGGAGGAGAGCCCAAGGGCCGCCTGTGCTCCAAGCCTGCCACCCCCAGGACCCAGGAGTACAGCCACATGGGCTGAGGCTGCTTGGGGTAATACCACAGGTGGCCACCAGGTGGCGATGGTGCGCTGCTCTTCCTGAGCCACCAGGAGACAGGGGGTGGGGGGTGGGGGGTGTTGCCCACTAGCAGCGACTGTTTCTCTGCAAAGGGAGGACCGTCAGAGCCAAAGCCCATGTTGAGGCCCTTCCCTAGGCCATCTTCTGTTTTAAGATTTGTAATCACCATGCCCTCTTCCCATACCATGAAATAGCAAAACCCAGTGTCACCTGCAGTCCATCCACCCTGACCCATGCACGTGGTCACTGGGTGGCCAGCCCCCCACCCCCATCTTCCCCATGCCCCAGTGGTTCAGGGCCCAAAACTGTGGCCCTTCCCTGCTGCAGGGATGCCACCCTGCCCCCACCCCAGGAGTCATGGGTCAGCAGGTCCTTGAGAGGAGGCATGTTCACAGGGGGTGTCACAAGCACTCAGACCACCAGCATCAACTTCAGGTGTCAGTGTGGCTGGGCATGCTCAGCTCCACATTTTAAAGGAAGAAAAAAAGAGATGCTCTCCAGCCCCACCCCTGGCCAAGAACATTTTGAGATGGTGGACACACCTGTATCCTTGCTGCCCAATACGGTAGCCACCAGCTGGTGGCTACTGAGGACCACACAAGTGGGTACTGCAACTGAGAAGCTTAACTTTAAAGAGCCACATGTGGCCAGTGGCCCCTGTACTGGGTGGCACCTGACTTCCCCTCTACCTCTGCCTGCCCATGCCCTGGAAGTGCAGGCTCCCCACATGACAAAGAACTGCTGGGTTCCCCAGATGGCAGCCCTACCCCAGCCCCTGAAAGAAACCACTCCAAGCAACGGTATTTTTCCAATTAAATCTTTTTCTTTTCTTTTTTCTTTTTTTATGAAAAAGATCACACAGAATTTGCCAACAAACAAAATTCCAAAAGAAACTTTAAAAAAAAAAAGGAAAACAATAGTTCCCCCAAAAAACTAAACCGAAGTCTGGCTTTTCCTTCCCTCACGATTGTCTGGATGAGGCCTCCCGTGTCTCTGGAAGGCTCGGGGGCTGGTTAAGTGCTTTCTGGGGCCCGAGCAGGGACGCTGGGCTCGGGCCGGCTCCCTCGCTCTCCCTCGCTCGTCTTCTCTCTAACTCCTCAGTCCTGGGGGTGAGTACAGTACACTTGGGCTGGGGCGGGGTGTGCGGGGCTGGGGAGGCCAGTGAAGCCGGGTGCTAGACACTCACAATCTAACAGGAAATAAAAAATAATATTCTGCACGTCAGAATGTGTTCTCTTTTTTTTTTTTTTTTTTTATAATTTCATAGCTATTTTTTTCACAGTTTTAAAAAGTTTATATTTATATATATTTATATATATTTATCTTTATATATATAATTAAAAAGTTGACTCCATTTAAAGGCTTATGATACAGGGGCGGGGCGAGTCTTTCTTGGTACAATAAAACTGTACAGGTTAAGAACTGCCACCTCCCTCCTGGGCGGGGAGGGGCCGGGCGTGGCCAGGGCCAGGGTTTCAGCACCAATGGGGTTTTCTGTAGTGTGAGGGTCTGGGCCAGATTGGGCCCTGCCTTGCCCATGTTCCTGGGCTCCCCTGTCCCCCAGCTCTGCTCAGCAAGTCTAGGCCATCCTGAGAGGGTGGGGGCTGGCATAGTCGGTGAGGCTGGCGTTGGGCCGCCTCTGTCCCATGGTGGGAGGCCTTGGGGTGGGCTCTGTGCTGAGGGTAGCCAGGAACCCCAGAGCGGCGTCAGTTTGCTTCCCTGGAAACATCCTCCCCACTGAATCCTGGGAACGCCTGGGTCCCCGCTGCAGCCACAGTCTGGAGGGCCGGCCTACCAAGTGCTTACAAGGTACTGGCAGGGACGCCCAAGGCCCCATCCTGGCCAAGGACGCCCTGAGGGGGTTTGGCAGAGCCATACCCTGATAACTGACAGGAGCCCCTGTCCTGGGGGCACCAGAGGGTTCAGAGAGTGGGGCTGGAGATGTGTGCACATGTGTGCACACACGTGCATGCATAAGGGCACACACATGTACACACACACTCACCCAGGGCGTCCACGTGCACAATGACCACATGCACACGCCCACGGGCACACTTGCATGCACACAACGCACATGGTCCCCGCGCAGTGGCAGTGATGGGGAGGGGCCCCTTCAGCCCTTGGGCCACAAGGCAGCTTGTGGGGCCTGGGCGCGCCCTGGCGTGGCACTCAGCAGAGCACGGGCACGCCATCTGTGGAGAAGATCATGCCTGTGGTGGGCTCATAGGTGCCCGCAAGGTAGTACAGGCCCTCGCTGTCCTGGTACTTCTTGGTCTTGAGCATCTGCTCGTACTGCTCCAAGCCCACCACCAGGCACTTGTGCGACACAGTCTGCACGTCGTTCTCGTCCACATGCGAGGACTGGTACAGGGCACGCTGCAGGCAGGGGGTGGGTGTCAGAGATGGCAGGAGAGAGGGAAGACCCCTCCTGGACCAGAGAATGCCTTAAGGGCAGAGACCCAGGAACTGACAGAAACAGAAAGTGAAGACAAGAATGAAGAGAGACCAAGAGACACAGAGAGACAGAGATCAAGAGAGACAGAGAAAGAGACTGTGAGGAGATAGCCTAAGAAAGACAGACAGACCCAGAGACCAGGAGCCAGGAAGCTCAGAGTCACAGAGACAGAAGGTCAGAGGCTGAGGTCGGAGGCGACAGGAGGCAGGGGTGAGGCACATCTGTGAACACCAGGGCCCGGGCCCCTGCGTGGGTCGTGCTTGGAGAGGGCAGCCACCCACAATGTGCCCGACACCCTCCTACCTCCATGAAGTCCTTCCTCTGGCTGGAGGCCCGCAGGGCTGCAGGGAGGCTGCGGCCAGACTTCTGGTCCCACTGCTGTGTGGGGTACAGACAGGGGCTGGGGGTGAGCTAAGGCCTTGCCTCATTCTGCCCCCAGACGCCAGGGCAGAATGTCACCAACTGGCAGGCTGGGCAAGGCCCCTGGCCTCAGCCTGCCCACTCTGCTAGGCCATTGCTCCCCCAACACCCAGAATGTCTGACCCCAGGGGGACCACAGGTCTGCCCTACAGTGCCTGAGACATAGTGGGGGTTGGGGGGGCACAGCATGGCCCACAGGCTCACCTGGCCCTCGTGGAACTGCTTGCCCGGGCTGGTTTCCTCAGGGTGGTAGAACCACTTAACGCGGACCACCATGTTGTTGCCCCACGACTCCCACATACTCTGGATGCGGCCGATGTAGGGCAGGTTGGGGCGTCCGGCCGACAGGAACACGGCACAGTCCCCGATGCGAATCATCTCTTTGCCACGTACGATGGCCTTGTAGAAGAGCTTGCGGGCCTTGCCCTTCATGCCGCGCCTCTGAGGGAGACGCGCAACAGGGTGTGAGCAAGCAGGCCCCACCCCAGCAGGCCCTGAGCCTGGAACCCGTCCCCCGGCCCCTAAGTCAACTGTTGTCAAACTCAGGGGGCTCTGCAGGGAGGGGGCGCAAGGGGAGGAAGCCCCCTTGTTTTGCTCCAACTTGGAAGGCACCTCTTTCATCTCTCTGACATACTCCACGAGGGATTTTATTTAATCTAAGGATTCTGAAGCCAAAGGGACTTTTTCTTGGCAGCTGGCCAGTATGGGGACTGACCCCTCAACTTTCATGTCATCATCACCACGCTCTAATCAACTAAGCTGACCTGCCAGCCCCAAGGGGCCTTTAACTCCCTGTTCTGCAGCAGCACTGGCAAATGATGCCTGCAAAGCCCACAGACCCACGCTGGGATGTGCAGGGATTCCTGCCCTCCCCACCCCATGCCTCCTGTAGCCCTGGGCCCAGCACTATCCTGCCCCTCACCCTGCAAGGCAGAGGCAGCCCCATGCAACCTCCACTTTCTAGGCAGGGAAAGTGAGGTCCAGGGAGGAGACCAGGATGGGAGGCCAATGCGGACACCCAGGGGCTCCTTGTGGCACGTGTGGACAGAGCACAGCATGGCTTGCATGTGATGGAGGCTGGTGGCCATCCCAAAACAAAAATTCATTCAATGCACCCGTAGGGCCCCAGAAACTTGCCACTCCCTGCAGTCTCAGTCTACACCAGCATATGTAGCGTGGCCCCTGGGAGGATCACTCTCATGGCCTGTGAGGCTAAAAGAGGATCCTTGTCCCAGACTCTAAGATGAGGACTTGGGATGAAAGTGAGTTATCTAGACATGTTCCCAGGAACAGCGGGAAGGGCAGTGGGGAAGTGGGACCCAGAAGGAGAGATACACAAAGTCCGGCTGGGGCCTCAGCATGAGTCACCCCCCCACACACACAGGTGGCCTGGCCAGAGGTGAGAGAGGTGGAGGAGGCACACCCGCCCTGCAGGTGTGGGCTAAGGGCTGTCCCTGGAGAACATCAACCCCAGCCCCCAAGAAGGGCAGCCACCAAGCGACCACTGCCAGTCCCCTGGTGGGGGGGTTTGCTTATTCACTCAACAAACACTTTCTGAAGAATCCTTGGTGCCACCTCAGCCTAGCTCCACCGTCACCATCCCTAAGTGAGAAACTCCTCCAAGAACCAGAGCTAAGCGAAGCTCTGCCCTCCCACAGAACCGGCCTCAAGCTAAATTCAAAAACTTATTTTCCCCTTGTCACACTGGCTGCTAGACTCAAAGTCAAATTTTGAGCTTAAGATGAGGAAACCTACACACTGATTTCCTACATTATGCAGCAGAGCCTTTTCTACTTAACTCACCGGGTCCACAGCAGTAACCAACTCTTTAGCAGGCACGCCGCTAATTTCTTATGTGTGCTCTGTAAACTATTAAAATTCCCTTCATCTTAAGGAACAGTAGAAATATATTCAAGGTGGGACAAACGGCCAAGCTTTCTAAGCTGACCACCTCTGACAGCAGTTGTGCGTCCTGGCACCCGGCACCTACTCCCCTCCTCACAGATGACCCTCTCGTCCAATGGGACCCCCGTGGGACTGACCCCGCCCCCGCAGCGGGCACAGGACTTGGTGTGGCCGATCAGAACATCCTATCCTCTTCCTGATCACTGTGGTTGGCCCAGGCATGGGCCTAGAACCAAGCCAAAAACATTCAAGCAACTTTAGCTTGAACCCCTGGGAGAAAGACACCTTCCTTCCTACTGTCACTTCTGAGCTGGTTGAAAGTGAACTGAAAGCTACTGGATGGACCTTCCTGTCACCAAGAAGGGAGGTGCTGCCCGAGAAGGAGACCAGCACCAAGGAAGGAGAGAGAAGCTGAAGCCTGAAGCATGGACCAGTGAGTGTGTCTGAAGACAGCCATTGATTCCCTGGACCCATCTGAACCTGGAGCTGAACACTCCTGAACTTTTCTGTTAAAGAAGCCAATAAGTTTGGCCTTGCATTTAAGTCCATTTCAGCTAGGTTTCTGTCCTTTTGCAGTGGTAAGAGCCCTTTCTGAAACCTGCAAATGGCAGATGCTAAAGTGAGGAATGGGCAGGTTATGGTGGCGGCAGAACAGGGAGGACATGCCTTCCTTGGTTCTTGATAATGCCCCCTCAGATAAAGTGCCTCTCGGGATGAGCAGTCTAGGGGGCCTAGCCCCACAGCCTTCAGAAAAGATTCCATGAGAAATTACATCGCTAAAGTCAGGCCTCTTAAGTGGTGAGCTGGCCAGGAGAGGCTCTTTCCAAGAGGACTTAGCCAGATAATCCAGGCTGACTGGTTAGCTCACTCAGTGTGGTGTTGAAAACAGCAAGGTCGAGGGCTCAGATCCTGGGACCAGCCAGCTGCAAAACAATATATATGCTAGCAATATTGATTTAATCAACATATCTCAATGTTCAACCCCAAAAATATGTATAATCGATTTTGATTCAATAAATAAAATAAATTGGTTAAAAAATAAAGAGTGAGATGATTGAAAAAAAAAAATGAGTCAGATAATGCTGTGCCCTGCAGGGACAGAGAAGCCAGGTTATCTGCCCCAAATTCAAGTTAATGACCAATGGCAGGGAGGCCCTAAGAAAGCCAGAGCTGCAGTTCAAATGGCTGCACCCCCTTCCTGCTCTGCACCCCCTGCCTGACAGAGAAAATACCTCTGTTCTAAGGAGCCCCCAGGGGGAGCAGCCTGGGCAAGAAGCAGCTGTTCTCCCACTCTGGGGCTTCTAACTGCCCTTGGGTGGCAGAGGGAGAGCCATAAAAGGCTACTGCTTATAGGACACAGAAACCCCTGAGAACTGATTCACAATATTCCACAGCTTCTGCCTTGTTGATCATCCCAAGAAGCTGACACAGTGTGAATATGCCAGAAGCTTCTGAACTTTTAAGAGGTGTGTTGCCGGAGACACCCCAAACCTGTCACTGTCAACCCCTGAATTCTTAACCTAAACCTGCCGTGGCAGCAACCAGGCTTTATAGAGCTAGAGACCCGGCAGGGGTATCTCCTCAAAGCCGACTTCCACGTGGCCTTGGAGGACCCTGGTCTACAGAGATCAGTGATGAGGAGCTGGCCACACCTGCAGACAAGGACACCCTCCCACACCTGCTGGGCAAGAAAGCTGGCTCTTCCTACTCAGGGATGTGGGATGGACTGAGGACCACGGGGGCTGTTCCCATTCTCCACACAGAAGCTTCCAGAAGAGTTATTGCCAATTTCCTCCACTGAGAAGTACATGTGTACATGTGTGCACGTGAGCACGTGTGCACCTGTATGTGTGTGCGTGTTATGTGTGTGCGTGTGCATGTGCATGTGTTTGTGCGTGCACGTGTACGTGTGTGCATGTTATGTGTGTGCACGTGTGCGCATGAGCACCTGTGTGTGCATGTTATGTGTGTGCGTGTGCATGTGCACGTGTTTGTGCGTGCATGTGTATGTGTACACGTGTGCATGTGTGTGCACACACCTGTGTGTAAGTGCGCGTGTGGGTGTACACATGTGTACGTAGAGTAGGCAGCCACAGGGTGGGCTAGGAGGGCTCCTTCTGGACAATGAAGCTCCCCGCTGTGGGGGTGGACACAGGACCCAGGCCTGGCTAACCAGAACTTTCTGTCTTTTGAGGCATATTGATTAGCTCAGGGGTGGGCACCTGATCCAAGCCAGGCCAAGGAGACTTGACCCTGGAGTTCTGTGGGCAAATAAAGGGCAAGAAGCACCTCCTGCCGGGATACCTAACTGGTGAACGAAAGCCTTTAGCATGCTGGTATGTAAAGTTACAGAGTAGCTGGATATAAAGCTAACGTGAAGAAAAACAGGATATTAAGCCAAGAGGTTTCGAAACTGAACCCCTGCGGAAGGGGCTGGCTTGGTGCCTGCACACATTCTTCATTTGGGTTCCACATGAGGGTGGCACTGGGTCCCGGGGACCAGAGGGCAGGGCCACTCTGTGAAGGACATGGGCTTTGGAGTCAGACAGATCTGGGTATCCTTGGACATTGAAAGTCAGTGTACCCATCTATAAAAGAGGACGCCACCATAACCCTCAACCCAACCCCTGCCCTGGGCTTGCTGGGGGGACATGAGGGGAAGGGAGGGCCCAGTGTGGAGTGGTCAGCCCACCAGAGGACAGTGCCTCCAGACCCTTGCCCCGGCCTGACGCCATGGTTACCTGGGTGGGCTTGCCGAACCACTTCCAGAGCTGCCGGGCTGGCAGGAAGGCAGCAATCTTGGGCCTGTTCTCCACGGATGGCAGGCGCTGCCGCTTGGCCAGCTCCTTGGTGGTGGGGAGATGGACGCCCTCTCTCTTTTTGGGACGGCTCTTGGCCCCAGCCTGAGCCTTGGGCTGCAGAGGCTGCGGGGGCTGGGGCGGGGGCGCCTGGGGCTGAGGGGCGGGCGCCTTCTTGCCTGGAGACTGGGCCGAGGAGCGGGCCTTGCCGGCCTGCTTGGGTGCCTTGGTGGGGAGGGCTGGCTGCGCAGGGGGACCAGCTGTGGGGGCGGGGGCTGCCTCCTCGTCCGAGCTGCAGGAAGAGTCCTCGTCTGTGGTGGAGGAGGAGGAGGAGGAGGACGAGGAGGAGGAGGAGGACGAGGACGAGGAGGACGAGGACGAGGAGGACGAGGACGAGGATGAAGAGGACGAGGAGGACGAGGAGGAGGACGAAGAGGAAGAAGAGGAAGAGGAGGAGGAAGAAGAGGAGGAGGAGGAGGAGGCAGGAGAGGACGCCCGGGAGCTAGAGGCGCTGCAGCTCCGGCCACCAGCGCCACGGCCTCCGTCCCCATTCTTCTCGCCTTCCTCCTCTCCTTCTGTTTCTGAACCGCTGCTGCTGCTGCTGTTGCTGCTGCTGCTGCTGCTGCTGCCGCTGCTGCCGCTGCTCTCCGACTCCTCAGCCCCATCCTGCTCAGCCTGGGCCTTGTCCGGGCTCTTGGGGTCCCCAGAGTCCTCAAACGTGAGCCCCGACCCGGGCTCCTGGGCGAGGTCCCCATCCATGGCCTTGGGCCAGGCTGTCTTGGGATCACCGCTGCCCACGGTCGGGGGATAGCTGCCCAGGCTCAGGAGGCTCTTGGGCTCCTGCCAGCCCCCAGCCCCCAGGTCCTCCCGCAGAAGCAGGGCCTCTTTGGCCTTTTTGCTCTTGGGCGATGTGACCCCCTCATGGTCCAGTTTGACAAGCAGCTCGGCCTCCTCTCCTGGCCTCCGAGGGCCCTTGGTGCCCGACTCCTCAGCAGCCCGAGCCTTCTTGGGCTTGGGGCGGGTGGCAGGCATGGTGATGGGCATGGTGACGGGTGTGGGGGTGGGGGCTGGGGCCGCTGTGGGGGCAGGCAACTCTCCGAAGGGCTCAGGAGCCGGGCAGCTGGCAAAAGTGGAAGGTGCAGGGCTAGCCTGTGGGGGTGCAGGGCGAGCCTTGGTGGCTTTGGCCCGCTTGTCCACAGGTTCTGGGGGGCTCTTCTTGGAACCTGGGGTACTGATTGGCTCTGGAGCCAATGGGGCACTGGGGACCTCATCCATTGAGCCCCCCTCCTCCAGGACAGCAGCTCTGTCTAGAAAGAGAAGAAAAGAGACGTGAGGCCGGGGGCAGGGGCTGCTGCAGCCAGGGCGGGGGCTTCCTGGCTAGAGACCAGCTGGGACCCCCAAGTCAGGAAGCCCTAGTTTCAATCCTCGCTCTGCCGATTCCTGAGCAGGGCCTGGGTATGGTGCCCTCTGTGGACCTCAGGACGAGCGGCTCTCATACAACAATCATCTTAAGTTGTGTTGGCCCCAAAGTGGGTCCCCTCCAGTACTTGGCTTTTAGCCCAAAGTACTGTTCTCTGGACTCTTGAGTGAGACAGAACCAGGCTGAATCTCAGCTCTGCCTATGACAAATCAACCTGCCTCCCTCAGCCTGGTCAGAATCGCCCTGTGGTGCAGACCTCTTACAGAGATGGGGGGTGGTCACTTCGGCAGGACCCCAAGCCCTCTGCTCAGATTCCTAGAGGTGCCCTACCTCCCGCCCTGTCCCTGAGCCTTGGCCAGGCAGGGCTTGGCCAACCTACCACCCTTGGCCTTGGTGCTGGGTTTCCGCCCACGCCCTCGGGCCTTGGCTCCTGACTCCTCCGACCCCGTTGTGCCCCCCTCTTTGCCTTCCCCGGTGTCTTTGCTGGTCTTCCGGCTGCGGCGCTTGGCGCTCGGCACCAGGAGGGCTGGGGACGGCTCAGCACCTGCAGGGGCAGAGTGGACACGGGCTCAGGCCTGGGTTCCCCATCTCTAAGTTTATCACTTGGAACTGCGATTGGGGAGGAAGCAGCTGACACCATGCGGCTGATCCCGGTTGGACTCCCCTGGTGAGATGCATGGTCCACAAGGGAAGCCTCGTCTGCAGGGAACAGCTCAGAGGTGTTTGCACACAAGCTGCTCAGCAGGGGCCACTAAAGGAACTGAGAGGGGCTGAACAAAGATGCCAACCTCTGTTGTTTTTATGATCCACTTAGAAAAGTTCAAAACCTCTGAAGTTATCAACCCCAAGAAGTCAGCCAGCACTGGGTCCAAGTCCTGCCTCTGCCTCTCACTAGTGGTGGGACCCTGGAAAAGTCATTAGCCAATTTGAACCCAGTTTCATCTCTGGTCAGTCAAACGGGACAGTAGTGCTAGCCGCACGCGGCTGACGCAAGAACTCAACACTGTCTTGGCCACAGGGAGCCTGGGACTATCGATAACAATTCTTGATCAGCTCTCCATGGCCAGGGTTGCCAGGCCTGCAGCTGCCCTCATGGCCCACAGGACAGAGAGGCCCTGAGAGCCCCTCTCCTCAGCACTGTTCTGACCCCCACCCCCCACCCCTTTGATTTCTGCCATTTCCATTCCCTGTGTGTCCCCATGGTCCAGTGACTGCCAGAGCCCAGAGCTGGGCTGGAGGGAAGCAGGGGAGTACCCCAGGCGGGGAAGCTGGCGAGGCCTGATGGGCAGTGCCTGAAGGATAGCAGGAACCATGGATGTCACAAGTCGGCACTCACACTGGATCTTATAGTCAGGGGGCAGCAGGCGGATGTGTGAGAGTGGGATTCGCCCTGTGTCTCCATCATCAAACTCCACAGTGATCAGGTCCCCATCGTCCTCCAAGTCCAGCAGCCCTGTTGGAGGAGGGGCAGGTCAGGGGAGGCCCTCGGACCTCCCTGGTGGGACACGAGGGTGAAGGGGCTGGGGTGGTAGGGACATAGAGGTGCAGGACGTAGGCTTTAGACCACATGGTCCCAGGTGGGAGTACTGGCTCTCCCATTTCCAGCTGTGTGTGTGTCCCAGACTTCAGGTGACGTGTGACAGCTGATCACACACACTTCTGCCCACTTGCTCCCAAGACCCTTCCCAAAACAGCAGTGAAGGGACAGCAAGGGTGTCAACCCTGAGGAGAAAGAGAAGGGCAAGGAGAGGGCAGCAGGGGAGGCAGTGGCGTTTTGGAAGCTGACGCTGCAACAAATGAGCAGGAGCTGAGTCTGGTCTCAGCTTTGTTGCTCTGTCAGTTGCCTAGAAGGTGACACCAGCAAGTAGGAAGCCAGTTTTCCCAAAAGAACCTGCCACAGTTTGGGCCTGAGATGCCCACACACCTCTGGAGGCAGGGGTTTGGGGGACTCCAACACTGAACAGGCTGAGGGTTGTGCAGAGAGCATGAACTGGGAGGTTTTACCCCCAGAGAAAGGCTCTGGACTGAAGGACACTGGGCACAAATGAGAAGGGTGGGCTGGGCCCCACCCCAAAACCAGGGCTGAATGAGCATGAACTGGGAGGTTTTACCCCCAGAGAAAGGCTCTGGACTGAAGGACACTGGGCACAGATGAGAAGGGTGGGCTGGGCCCCACCCCAAAACCAGGGCTGAACGGAGTCTGCATACTGAATGGTGACGCCAGCCTACTTCCCAAATGCCAGATGCTGAGCCTATCTCCCCACAGAGGCCTTGGAGAATCTGACCGGCTGCAAGAAAAGACCTACATGTGCTGGTATTTGGGGGTCCCCTAACAAAACATTCCTGCCCACCCACTCTCATAAGCCCTCGCTCATGCACAGAGCTTCCAACTGGCTCGTCGATGTCTCTCTTTTTCCACTAAGGACCACCAGAGATGTAAGGACAGTCCCTAAAGAAAGAAAAAGCACAGAACTAATAAATACAGGGAAGAGTGAGCTCAGAAGAAAATGGGGCTGAAGAAATGTAAAATGAAAAAACAGAGAAGACTCCACCAAAACATACTGGAACTAATAAGCAATTTCAGTAAGTGGTAGGATATAAAATCAACCCAGAAAAATCAATAGCCTTCTGATACAATTTGGATATGTTGTCCCCACAAAGCCCATGTTGGAATCTGATCCCCAATGTGGCAGTGTTGAGAGCTGTTTGGGTCATGGGGGGGTTAGGTTCCTCATGAATAGATTAATGTCATACTGGCCAGTCACCAAAAAAAAAAAAAAATTGAATAGATTAATGCCTTCCCTGCGGGTGAGGTTCGTGAGTGAGTTCTCACTCTATCAGTTCCCCAGGAGAGCTGGTTGTTAAGAGGAGCCTGGCACCTCCGCCCTGCCCCCTTGCTTCCTCTTGCCATGTGATCCTGCACCTGCCAGCTGCCCTGCCGTTTTCTTTTTCTGCTGTGAGTAGAAGCAGCCTGAGGCCCGCACCAGATGTAGCTGTCCCAGAATCGTGAGCCAAATAAACCTCTTTTCTTTATAAATTACCCAGTCTCAGATATTGTTACAGCAACACAAAAACAGTTAATACACCTTCCTATATACGAATAACGCAATAGCCAAAGAAGAAATCAAGCAAGTAATCCCATTCACAACAGCTACTAAGGAAATGAAACACCTAAGAGTGAGTTTAACCAAGGAGGTGAAAGATCCCTACAATGGAAACTATAAAACACTGGTGAAAAAAAGTGAAGAGGACACAAATAAATGGAAAGATATCCCATGTCATAGGTCAGGAGAATTAACATCATCAACATGTCCATATTACCGAAAGCAATCTACATATTCAACATAATCCCTATCAAAATACCAATGATGTTCTTCACAAAAATAGAACAAATGATCTTAAAATTTGTATGGAACCACAAAGACTCCATACAGCTAAAGCAATCTTGAACAAAAAGAACAAAGTTGGAGGTATCACACTCCCTGACTTCAAAATATATTATACAGCTACGCCAAAACAGTACAGAACTGGCATAAAAACAGACAAATTGACCATCGGAATAAAGAGCCCCAAAATAAACTCATACATTTATAACCAACTGATTTTTGACAAAGGAGCCAAAAATATACAGTGGGGAAAGGCCAGCCTCTTCAACAAATGGTGCTGGGAAAACTGGATATCCACATGCAGGAGATTGAAACGAGACCCCTCTCGCCATAGACAGAAATCAACTCAAAATGGATCAAAAACCTAAATTTAAGACCTGAAACTATAAAACTACTAGAAGAAAACATAGGGGAAATGCTACATGAAATGTAGCGGCACTTTTTTGAGCAAGACTACAAAGGAACAGGCAACTAAAGCAAAAATACACAAATGGGACTACATCAAACTAAAAAGCTTCTGCACAGCAAGGGACACTGTCAACAAAGTGAAGAGACAACCTACGGAAAGGGAGAAACTGTTTGCAAACTACACATCAGACAAGGAGTTAATATCCAAAATATATAAGGAACTCGACTCAACAGCAAAAAGCCAAATAACCCAATTTAAATAATGGGCAAAGAGGGCTGGCCGGTTAGCTCAGGTGGTTAGAGCACAGCCTTATAACACCACGGTCTTGGGTTCAGATCCCCGTATAAGCCAGCCACCAAAAAAAAGGGCAAAGGAACTGAACAGACATTTCTCAAAAGAAGACATACAAATGGCCAACAGGCACATGAAAAAATGCTCAGCATCACTAATCATCAGAAAAATACAAATGAAAACCAGAAGGAGATCTCATCTCACTCCAGTCAGGTTGGCTATTATCAATAAGACAAAAAACAACAAATGCTGGAGAGGATGTGGAGCAAAAGGGACTCTCCTATGTTGCTGGTGGAAACGTAAATTGGTACAGCCACTGTGGAAAACAGTAAGGAGGCTCTTCAGAGAACTAAAACTAGATCTACCGTATGACCCAGCTGTCACACTACTGGATATATACCTAAAGGAAATGAAATCAATATATCAAAAAGACACCTGCATTCCCCTGTTCACTACAACGCTATTTACAATAGCCAAGAGATGGAATCAACCTAAATGCCCATCCATGGATGGATGGATTAAAAAACTGTGGCATATAAATACAATGGAACACTACTCAGCTACAAAGAAAATGATATCCTATCACTTGGAGCAACATGGAAGGAACTGGAAAACATGTTAAGTGAAGTAAGTCAGATACAGAAAGACAAATACTGCATGATCTCACTCATATGTGGAATTTTTTTTAAAAAGTGGTTTTCATATAAGTAGAGTAGAATAATGGTTACCAGAAGTGGGGGGTGGTGGGGGACAGGGAGGAGAAGAGGTGGTCTAAGGGGTACACAACTATGCTATCTACCCTAATTGAGTCATTGTACAGTATATGCATGTATTGAAACCACACCCATAAGTATGTACAAGTACATGTTAAAATATTTTGAATAAGATAGGGCCGGCCCCGTGGCGCACCTGGGAGAGCAGCGGCACTCCCGCCGCGAGTTCGGATCCTATATGGGGATGGCTGGTGTGCTCACTGGCTGAGCGCAGTGCGGGCGACACCAAGCCAAGGGTTGCGATCCCCTTACCGGTCACGAAAAAGACAAAAAAAAAAAAATTTTTTTTTTTTAATAAGATAAAGAAAAAAAAGAAGAAGAAAAATATCTGGCGATCCCACTACTGGGAATATATCCAAAGGAAATTAAATCAGAAAAATAAATAAATAAATACATGAAATTAGTATGCCAAAGAGACACCCGCACTCCCATGTTCACTGCAGTGCTATTCACAAGAGCCAAGAGATGGAACCAACCTAAGTGTCCATCAGTGGAAAAAGAACATGTGGTATAGATACACAATGAGATATTATTTGGCCATAAAAAAGAAGGAAATCCTTTCATTTACGACATGGACGGACCTCAAGGACATTATGTTAAGAAAACTGAGCCAGGCACAGAAAGATGAATACTGCAGGATCTCACTCATATGTGGAATCTAAAAGAGTTGATCTCATAGAAGTAGAGAGTAGAATAGTGGTCACCAGGGGCTGGGGGATTTGGGGAGTTGGGGAGATGTCAGTCAAAGGACACAGAACTTCAGTTAGACAGCAGGAATAGGTTCAAGAGATCTAATGCACAACATAGTGACGATAGTTGATATATTCTTTAAAAATGAGAAGAGAGTGCATCTAAAGTGTTCTCACCACAAAGATGATAATTATGTGAGGTAATACATAAGGACATGTTAATTGGCCAGATTTAGTCATTCCACAATGTATACATACTTTGAAACATCATGCTGTACATAGTAAATACATACAATTTTATCTGTTGATGTAAAAAATAAAGTGGAAACAGTGATTGCCTCTGAGGAAGAGGAACTATGGGACTGGGCAACAGGCTGGGAGGTGAAATATTTTTCACTGTAAAGCTTTTGTACATTTTGATTTTGTACCATGTAAATTAATTACTTAGTAGAGATTGATATTAACCCCCATTTAAAAATGCAAAACAGGGAGGGTGGGCTAGGGAGAAATTGGTAAAGGGCCATGAAAAATGTTTACATCGTGTAATGATAAAATAAAAAAATTTTGAAATTTAAAAATTCACTAAAAAAAAAAATGAGAAAAAGTATAAAAATTATTTCATCCATATTTCTACCACCAGGAATTAACAACTGCTGACTTTTGTCAACTGGCTTCTAGTCCTTTTATGGTATGTGAAAAAAAATAAA